GGTGCCTTTTGGTGTCCATGCTTCTGACACACCAGCTACAGTAATGTGCATTTAATGTGAAATCTGCATTTAATGGTTGAAAGGGTGTCTGTGGATGCAGACAGCCAGATGTGGATGTAAATGGTAAATGGACTGGTTCTTATATAGCGCTTTTCTACTCTTCTGAGCACTCAAAGCGCTTTATACAACTTGTGCATTCACCCATTCACACCCATTTGCACAAGCACATTGTTCTAAGTGCTTTCTAAGTAACATTCACACACATTCATACTCCGATGGATGCATCGGAGAGCAATTTGGGGTTAATATCTTGCCCAAGGATATTTGGCATGCAGACTAGGGGAAGCCAGGAACCGAACCACCAACCTTCCGATCAGTAGATGACCTGAGCTACAGCCACCCCTAAAATGTGACATTTGTCAGCCAGAACACTGCGGTAAGGCTCCCATTTGGGATTTTTCATTATTAAAACTATTCACTGAATAATTTTGTTTGCACTTGCGTTTTACGTACTTTTCGCTGTGTGGTTAGGCTGAAGAAAAGATTGTGGGTTTGAGTTTAAAATTCCCCAATTTACAACATTAACCCTATTTGCCACAAAATGATACCTTCCCATTGTTATCTCCACCAAGGAGGTTATGCTTTTGGTAGCATTTACGTGCATGCTTGCAATTCTGCCACAAAAAGTCTCAAATGAATTCTGATCAAACTTGGTCAGGGTGTAGAGTGCGGTCATGTTAACAATCCATTAACATTTGGCTTACATTAACCAAGGTCTTCCAGGTGAACTGAAGGATTTACTGATCAAAAGATCACCAAAACCTTGAAACTATCAAACATAATATCAACATATATTAAGTACTGTATAAAGGTTTAAAATATCATATCACATATAACCTTTGACCTCTATTTCAAGTTCGAGGTATCTGAAGGTTAAACTGTTAATAGTAGTATAATCAGCTCTTCTTACTGCCTTTGTTTGTATTGACAGCATGTAGACATATAGAGAATGATATATGGGTATTATAAATATGTACATTACAGTAACAAGCAAGTGTCTAAACATGCTAAATAGGGGGTATTAAGGTGCCCTTTGCCAAACACTTCTGATAATACAGCAATATCTGACCGACGAGAACAATTCTGGAATTAATCGATGGGGTAAAGGTGCGCTGGTGGAATGAAAAGCTGTCAGCGAAAACGTCTTCTTGGAAACGTCTTCTGTTCCTGAAATGACTGCTTTTCTCCTCACTTGGACAGCTGCAATAACAGTGCAATTACATTTCACTCAGCGTCAACAGCAAGTCTTTTTCTCAAGCCCTCCGAGTCTTAAAAACATAATAGTATTCCACGTGGGCGAAGTGAATTGGACTCATATGTTTCAGGTTTCGCTGCAACAACATGTTTCCCGGGCTCGGAAACTGTAGAGCACATAAACCAATATCAGATGAACTGAGAGGTGGAAAAGAAAAATAATTTTACTGGAGTCGAATGTGGTAGTGAGAAAATAATTAGTCACGCACTCTGAAAGTTATTAATGTGATTTGAAAGGAAGTGAGGAGGAATCCTACGGTGCTACACTCTTCAGTCTCAAACCGAAGGGTTGACGTGGATGACGCCATGCCAAGAGAAATGCATGAGAAATAGCCAGGAGAGAAAATCAGTCAGCCTAATGCCATTATCCAGGGAGGGAGAATCAGATTATTTCATGTTAGACCTGGAATATAATGCCATATAAAACATGACATTTGTTGAAATCAAATCAAAGAGATGTCCATGTTTGTTTTTATCCAATAATGTGAAAAATGATGTCAATACGGCACGTTTTTATCTTTCCCCTGCTTCCTTGGTGGTGTCACAGACAAAGCAGGAGGAAACAAAAATTCTCCACCTGTTAAAACATGAGAGCCGTCGGGATGTAATTATGAAAATTATTTGCAGCTATCAAAAAAAAAAAAAAACTAGGACAAGGAAAGCAGCTGGGTGGGAGTCGAGCGAGACAGCCGAGGTGTAATATTTCTTGGTTCAGAGCTGGTCACAAACCTTTGAGATATCAAAGTAGGTTGCGATGATGGGTCAGCACTAACATATGGCTTTACCGCCCATGCTTCTCTTGATAGTATGCTTGGAGGCCACCACATAGGGAACCGTTTTAAGAGAACAGTCGAGCTGTACACAAACAGACATGTGGAAGACATTAAGGTTGCTAATGGGCAAATACAACAAGAAGAAAGTGAGAGAATGGTAGTGAAACACCACATCCTGACAAAAGCCCAGTTGGATAATGAGTCTCTCTTAAAGTCACTGCACCGACCCAATTCCGCCAATTTATTATAAGCAAGCTCAGTCCATTTGCGGTTACCAGGGTGTGTAGCTCCGGGCGGCGTAACCATCTGGATCAAGCAGTGTGGTCTGCCATTTCCCGGCCTCTGGTCCAAGGAACCACAGTGAACAGGAGGTTGGTGTGGCTATCGCTATATCATTTAGGGACTTTGTAGCATGCACATAAGGCAGCACAAAAGTCTTTTTTTTCTGTATCTTTACGTGAAACTGACAGATCACGTTGTTTTGCAATGTGGGGAAAAAAGAAAAACATGCCTTTATTTATATCAAACTCTTCTGCAACCGGTAGCAGCTTCCAAGTGTTTTCTTTATTAATTCATGGAATAAAATAAAAAATATTGTCAATTTAGGTTTGCTGTTAGCTAAATTTATGCTA